ATTAGTAATTTTGTACTACAGCTGAAGTTGCATCCATGACAAGGCAACAAAGGCGTACGTGCACTCCACATTCACTTCCATGAAATCAGTAAAATGTTCACCATTTTATCCTTACATGCAGTCTTGCAATGTGTTACATTTGATAGTGTGTCGTTGAATTTTATGTAATTTTCTTGAAAGAAACTGCGGAATCCTTTCACAAAAACCTGCAATGATAACATACAAGACAGCAAAGGAAAATTGTTAAGCCAAAAATGCCTGGAGCTGAACATTATTGAAGTAGAAAATGATATATGAGTATATACCATATACTTGTATGTGTGACTGTGCAAATCCATAGTACGGTTATGTTGATACAAGATATTAGCTGAATTTCATCATTTGACAGCATGCTATTTTGCATGGGATCCAACCAGAACTCCCTATTTTAGTTTTTAAGTAACATTTTTTATAGATGAAAAGATACTTTACCCAACTATCGCTGACTTTGATATTAATTTGATTTGATTTTTTATTTATAAATACAACTTTTTCAATAAACGATAAATTTTTTATATGATAATATTAACTTCATTTAATTATATTTTAACTGTGAAAGTATATATATATTCAATTGGTCACATATAATAAATTTATTGCTTGGACTAAACATTTTGCTGGCTTCTTTTACATATAAAACATAAACTGCACAAAAAGTTTCGACATAAATTAAAACAAAATGAATTTAAAAATTGAGACCAAAATGGTAATTTATTGTGTTGAGTACTTTTCCCAACTTACAGATAATTAATTAAATGTGTAGCAGAACACAGGACATTCTACGTGCCACTCATCAGGACTCGAGCGAAAGCAACTCAATGCAAAGCTATTACGATTCTTTATTGGATTACTATTAAACGAATTTAATGTTACTGTGTACGTCATTAAAGTTTATAGCCATTAACTGCAAGTTAAAATTAATTAGTAAAATTATAAATTAATGATATAAATAAATAATTTGTTTTTATAGGATTATTTTTGTTAAAAATGGAACGAAATGGAATCAATTTTTTTTTTACAGTAGGTGGGAAGTATCAAAAGCCACATTCCAGTAATCATGGGGGAGAGGTGGGAACAGATAGGCTTAATACCTAATGGGCTAGATCCATCTAAGCCAGAAAGCAAGAGCATGATTTAGGGAGAGTGGGTGATAACGAAGAGGATGGGGTTATAGCGCAAGCGCAGGAGTGAGATTAGCGGCAAACTTTTTGACCAGGGTTACAAAAGCAATGGTTACAAAGGGGGATGACGTGGGGATTTCGGTCCCTACTCATTAAAGTAACGGGACAAGTATTAGGGGGTTTAAAGCGCAAGTCTTGGACAAGGTCTTCAGGGTGGTATTAGGAATAGCGAAGTCAAGGGTGAGGTCGTGGAGCCGGGTGAAGTACCTACGGGTGAATGACAAAAGGTACTCGTGAACAACTCGTCAGTGATCTTGGCATTGTCATAAAGAACAGAGACGGAGAAGTGCTTACCGTCAGGTTTGCGCTTGTAGTTGATGCAATTTCGAAGAAACTTCTGCTCATATAAACGGATTCTTTCCATTTAGACAGAAGAGATTGCATTGATTAGATGAAACTTAATTATTCTTTAAAACTTTTTAAAGCCTGTAATATTTATTATTTTTTTTTTGTTTGTTGTTTTTCAGATTGCTTTCGAACAGAAGTACACTCAAACAACAACAATTTTAATATATTATTTAATTGAATTTTTGACTGACCATACAGCTGTTTCAAGTATTCATCATCAGTGGTCATGTAATTATTTCTTGTATTTAATTATTCGTAAAAATTTTTTAAAATTGCAAGTACCAAGGGTTGAGCCAAATTTGATGCTCAGACTTGTAGTTAAACTTGGAGTGTTCCTAATTTAATGTTAAAGTTCATTAAAGAATTCGCTTACTGTGTTATATTAGAACGAAATCATAAACCAGTTGTAGAATACCATAATTGAATTAATTAATTATAGTTATTTTTTTTTTAATTGTTTAATTTCAAACCTATTTTTTTGTAATACACTAAACAGCTGTATGGTCGGCCAATAATTCAATTAAATAAAATATTAAAAATTTTTGTTATTGTAGTTTACTACTGTTCGCATCCCCTCTTTTAAAAACAATAATAGAGATTCTATTCACGTATGCAAATTTTATTTAATATTAGGCATTGGTTCATATTTTAACTCATAATTGTTATTATTTTTTATTGCCGAACTGTATCTTCTTGTCAAACATCGAACAATGCTACCACTTAAATGAAATTGTTTATTCAAATTTTCTTAATTATTTTGTTTTAAAATAACATTTCTAATATTAAAACTGTTAAACTGACTAAGTTTATAACCAAAAATTGTTTTTAAAATGAGATTTTAGTCAATTTTCTAAGACTCATAAAGCGATTTCCAAGCACTAACGTTGTCTATAATGTTAGCCACACTAGGAAATGAAAACTGATATTAGTAGGAATACATCTTGATATGATTCATAGAATGAATAAATTATTGTAAGGTTTTGGCTGTCGTGATATGATGGATAAGGATAAGCATTGTACGTCTTAATAAAATCAATTAAACTTTCTGATGCTTTTTATGTAAATCACATCAACTGTAGTAAATCATGTGATATTTACAATTATATATTTATAATTTGTAAAGTAGTTTATTAATTCTAAAATTTATATATTAATAATAAATTTTTTACTAATTTAAAATAACTTAATATCAATTGAGCTTAAAGTGTGAAAACAATTAAAGCACTTTAAACAAGCGAAGCAAATGTTAGGCTCTATAGACCATGAAAACGGTATCGTGTTAACATATCAATTATAATTCCCCCTGCATTTCAATAGTTAATATTTTTAACATTTAATTCGTACAGGTCTGTAATAAGACAGCGGCATATCGCACGCACGCATGCGCTTATGCACCATTAAAAGACTTCTTCACCTGAGATAAGCATTTAATAAAAGCCTCGAAAAGTTGTTAACCAAACATGCAATGTAGATATATGCTGTACATATATAATTAAAATATTTTAAAATTAATATTAGTTTATTGTTTTTTTTTTTTATTATTATAAAATTCTGTCTATGAAGTATTAAAAAGAAAAACTTTTATACTAACAATTGTGTAAACTTATACATGTTGTTAAACATGTTTAAGCACTTGAACCTGTTCCAAGGAGTTAATCTGGATCAATACGTCTGTTTAAAAATACTATAATGGCACCAAAATCGGTACAAAAAGTGCTAGGTAATAACACAATATATAAGTATAAGATGATTGTATTACATATCTTACAATATTTGAAGAATTGTTACATATAAAATTCAAATCTTAAAAAATCGCACCATCAAATATAAAACTCATTTCAAAAAAAAACTTGTAATAAGATTTATATTATAATTTCTAATTAAATTTTACGTTTTGGGGTCCAGTATTAGTTGCGCTATTTCAGTGACAAATTTTGTATCTAGCAGAACTAAAGTGTTTAGTTTAGGATCTACATTTTGCAAAATGGATCGTTTACGCCCTCTATTAAAATTGTATTAAAATTGTAATAAGTAATTCCAATAATCGAGTTTTCTTCAATAATAAGGCTCAATTATTGCTTAGCAGATATACCAACAATCAAAATCGTTGCAACTGTGACAGTAAAAATTCACAAGTAACTATCGGAATACCATTGGAAGAAAAATTATTGCATTTCATATTTGAAACTTTATACTTTAATGATGAGAAATTACTTCTAAAATCTACTAATTTGACATTTCTTGAACTTTTTTTGTGGGGTTATGAAGAGGAGGAATGTGGGGTTATGAACATACTGTAGGATGTTCCGTAGAGGTCATTTTCAAAATGCTATATTGGACACCAAAGAGCCAAAGACACTACTCTACTTTCTTATGTACCCAAAAAAAAAATACGCTGTGAACCTTCTCAGAGCTTGACATTATAAGGAAGCTTTATATAGTTTTACATTTATATTGCAGTGGTACTTCGTAACATTATAACTTATACATTTATTTTATTACCGAAGCTATATACGCTGGTACTTCTTATAAAATCTAGGTTGATTAGATGTAACATTCTATGTAAAAGCGACAATATTACAAGAGAATGTTATAAAAGATATTTTAAAGAAAATATCTATTTTTTTGACCATTGTCCACTGACCAATCAATCCAACTTGATGAAATAAATAATGGATCGGTCAAAAATATAGCTAAGAGGTCTATGCCTTGAGTATTATGTATCTTGTATTATTTTTTTGAAATTGATATAACTTTGATGTATTGTTTTGCCTATGAAGAAATATAATTTTTATTGAGTATATATTATTTGATATTATCAATATAAGAAATCTAATACTTGATTCATTAATACTTATAAAACTTAGCGTTTTATACAACTTAATGAAATGTTAAATAAAGCGTGATATTCTGCCTTAAAATAATTTTGATTGAAGGAATATACATAATGTGGTTTCTAGAACGTTTGTTAGAAGGATTTTTACTTGCACATAAATGGTGAAATAATCACAATCACAATTTGCATATACTAAAATTTACATAAAACAAAAGCAGACATCGCACAATTGTCACCTAGGAACTGTGGTATACCGGATATTCCTTTAATTGCAGTGCTATTGTTTTAATTATCCTGTGTGCTTTATAAATATTCATCGCTATGAAGTTTGAGTTGAAAATCATACCGTGTTTGAATCCAATTAAAATGCCGTTTGTTAAGAAAACTTCAGTTAAGGAAACTCTCAGGTGTTTATTATATTTTGAAGTTAATTAAGAAGTCAGATTTCATTATAATATCAATAATCGTTTTAATTCAGGAAATAATTTAAACAATTCTACGAAAGTTATTTCAAAACTCAATAAAAGAATTTCTTCAAACACTAAAAGTTTTTGACAAGAAAATTAATTTTGACTTTTTAATTATTTTTTTTGCAGATTTCAATACGCAGCCTCTTTAAGAGCAGCAAATGCAACAAATGATAAATTTATGACTATCGCAGTGTTTGTGGTTGATTCAATTACCGTGAACCTTAAACCACATACAAAACCAATACTCATTTAAATATCAAAAAGGCAGGCCAGCAAAAACTGCAGCATGCATTTCTTACATTGGAATGGCAGTGTAAATATTCAATTATTTTTTTCAAAAGCACTTCTTCTGCTCCTTGCCACAGTTCATTTTTCAAGTGCTTACTTGATAATAGTGCATGAGGACACTATCCCAAATACTGTGATATTTAATGCATCAGTCTACAAGCTGGGCTCTGAGCGACATTACAAGATCAACGCTCACAAGTCAGCACATTTTGTGCATCATCTAGTTGCTGTTAGTCACAAGGATGGTCAAATTAAGCTTAAAAAATCTCTTAAATGTGATGGTATCTACTATCCAAACCTTTTCACATTTTATGTAGATTCAACATCTAACCGTTTGCGTAGCATTGACTACTACAGTTTGCCAGTTCGTATATTCATAACTGGACACAACTGTAATGAAGATCGAAAAGTTGAAGAGGAAATACACGGTCGTCAATATGAGGAAGAAGACACTGGCTATTCAAGACGCAGACGAAAACGTTTTATTGAAGCTACCGACGACGATATTCGTTATTATGGCGAATATTTGGGAAGCTCAAAAAGATCAATTGATGTTTTGAGCAGTAATCAATTGGGAATCTATAATCACAACAACAGCCGCATAGACTTCAGAGATGGAGATCTGATATTTGGAAATGATTTCGATAATGAAATGCGACACCGCATACTTAGTCGTAAACGACGTTCGGTTGTGTTTGAAATCGAACCAGCTATTCACAGGCGCATTTCAGAAGCAAAACAGTGGATTTCAGAAACGTACGCTTCATACGCTATACATACTACTGATCGTTGGAATCAGATATGCTTGCGAAAGTCTCAGTTTATTAATAATTTGAATGCATTTCTTCCGAAATCTATTTGCCAAAACTGCAAAGTAAATTTTCTCGATGTGAACGACGAACGCTTCGCAATCGAGCACCACAACAATGATTTAGTAGCTAGTGGAGATGTCTGTATACAAGAGTCCATTTGGAAAGTCAGCATCACGTTTAACATTCGATGCAGTCGAAATGATATTGTCGACTCGGATCATAGACTTAAAATTGTTTATCACCATCAGGAGTTTAATGACACTGACATTGCGAAACGAGTACGTCGTGAATTGCGAAACCAGAGTCCTTATTTTGAACAAGCACTATATGTAGCTTCTGTTCTGGAAGAGCAGCCATCAGGCGCTGCTGTGACTACAGTGCGTGCACGTGATCCTGAAGACTCTCCTGTTGTATATTCCATGGTATCATTGCTAGACTCACGTTCACAATCCTATTTCAAGGTGGATTCTCGTACTGGTGTCGTTACAACTTCCGCCAGCTTAGACCGTGAGCTAATGGATGTGCATTACTTCAGAGTTGTTGCTACTGATGACAGTTTTCCACCGCGTTCTGGTACTACCACGCTACAGGTCAATGTTTTGGATTGCAACGATCATAGCCCTACTTTTGAGGCTGAACAGTTTGAAGCTAGTATAAGAGAAGGTGCTACAGTAGGTTCAACTGTGATAACACTTCGAGCAACTGATCAAGATATTGGCAAAAATGCCGAAATAGAATATGGAATTGAAAGTACTACTGGTAAGTATTTTTTTTTTTTTGTTATAAAAAAAGTTTTTTGTTAATGGTTTCTTTCACAATTATAACATATATTTAAACTTATAGATGGCACAGGTACCGTGCAGGATCAAGAAGCTCCAATCTTTAGAATTGATTCACGTTCTGGTGTTATATCAACACGAAGTTCTTTAGATCGGGAAACATCCGATAGTTACAGTATTATCGTTACAGCTTCCGATATGGCTTCCGCACAAAGTGAACGTAAAACAGCCACAGCCACTGTATTGGTAAAAATATTAGATGACAATGATAACTATCCGCAATTTAGCGAACGTACTTATACTGTGCAAGTTCCAGAAGATCAGTGGGGCGATGACAATGTAGTAGCTCACATACGTGCAACTGATGCAGATCAAGGAAATAATGCCGTTATTCGGTACGCTATTATTGGCGGAAACACACAATCACAGTTCTCTATTGACTCCATGAGTGGTGATGTGAGTTTGGTTAAGCCACTTGACTATGAGAATGTGCGCAGTTATCGTTTAGTTATACGCGCACAAGATGGAGGAAGTCCGTCGCGAAGTAATACTACACAGTTGTTGGTAAATGTAATTGACACCAATGATAATGCTCCGCGTTTCTACACCTCACAATTCCAAGAATCTGTTTTAGAAAATGTACCTATTGGTTACAATATAATACGAGTGCAGGCTTACGATGCTGATGAGGGATCAAACGCTGAAATCACTTATAGCATCTCAGAACGTGATGATAACTTTCCATTAGCCGTTGATCCTCGAACAGGCTGGGTACAAACTATCAAGCAGTTAGACAGAGAAGAGCAGAGTCGGTACACATTTCAAGTTGTTGCTAAAGATGGTGGTGTTCCACCAAAATCTGCAAGCTCAACAGTTGTAATAACAGTGCAAGACGTTAATGATAACGACCCTACATTTAATCCAAAATATTATGAGGCAAACGTCGGAGAGGATCAGCCACCTGGTACGCCAGTGACAACAGTTACAGCAACAGATCCAGACGAAGACTCGCGTTTACACTACGAAATCACCACCGGTAATACACGTGGCAGATTCGCAATTACATCTCAAAATGGTCGCGGACTGATTACTATAGCACAGACACTAGACTACAAACAAGAAAAACGCTTTATGTTGACAGTCACTGCAACAGATTCTGGAGGCCGCTCAGATACAGCAACCGTTAACATTAATATAACCGATGCCAACAACTTTGCTCCAATTTTCGAAAACGCGCCATACAGTGCTTCAGTGTTTGAAGATGCACCCATCGGCACTACTGTATTGGTTGTTTCCGCGACAGATAGTGACGTTGGCATCAATGCACAGATAACATATTCTTTAAACGAGGAAAGCATAAATGGGTTAGTTAATCCTGATCCGTTTTCTATTAATCCACAAACCGGAGCAATTGTTACTAATGCGTTGTTAGATCGAGAAACAACCAGTGGTTACCTACTGACTGTTACTGCAAAAGATGGAGGAAATCCTTCCCTAAGCGATACCACCGATGTGGAAATTAGTGTTACTGATGTAAATGATAATCCACCAGCTTTTAAAAATCCTTTATATCAAGCTTCTATACTTGAAGATGCCTTAGTTGGTACTTCAGTTTTGCAAGTTTCAGCTTCTGATCCTGATATCGGTCTCAATGGTCGAATCAAATATTTACTAAGTGATCGTGATATTGAAGATGGTTCTTTTGTAATAGATCCGACATCAGGTACAATTCGTACAAATAAAGGGTTGGATCGTGAAAGTATTGCAACTTATCATTTAACCGCTATAGCAGTCGATAAAGGATCTCCCCCACTTTCAAGTACAGTTGAAGTGCAGATACGCTTAGAGGATGTCAATGATTCGCCTCCAACATTTCCGTCCGACAAAATCACATTGTATGTACCAGAAAACTCACCAGTCGGTTCAGTTGTAGGCGAAATACATGCACATGATCCAGATGAAGGAGTAAATGCAGTAGTACATTATTCCATTATTGGTGGCGATGACTCGAATTCATTTTCGTTAGTGACTCGTCCAGGCTCCGAACGTGCTCAATTACTTACTATGACTGAGCTGGATTATGAGTCACCACGCAAGCGTTTTGAATTAGTTATAAGAGCTGCAAGTCCTCCACTGCGTAACGATGCTCATGTGGAAATTTTGGTCACTGATGTAAATGATAATGCACCCGTCTTACGAGATTTTCAAGTTATTTTCAATAATTATAAAGATCATTTTCCAAGCGGAGAAATAGGTCGAATACCTGCCTTTGATGCTGACGTCAGTGATAAATTAACATATCGTATTCTTTCGGGGAATAATGCAAATTTGTTGCGTTTAAATACATCGTCCGGTGGATTAATATTAAGCCCTCAACTAAACACAAATGTGCCTAAATTTGCAACAATGGAAGTTTCTGTCACTGATGGCATAAATGAGGCGAAAGCAGTAATGCAACTGGCAGTTCGCCTTATTACGGAGGACATGCTTTTCAATTCGGTAACTGTACGTCTAAACGAAATGACAGAAGAAGCTTTTCTGTCACCTTTACTGAATTTTTTTCTGGATGGCTTAGCAGCTATAATACCTTGCCCGAAAGAACATATTTTTATATTCTCAATTCAGGACGACACTGACGTAACAACACGTATTCTAAACATAAGTTTTTCTGCAAAGCGGCCTGATGTGTCTCACGAAGAGTTTTATACACCGCAGTACTTGCAAGAGCGGGTGTATTTAAACCGTGCGATTTTAGCTAGACTGGCAACAGTAGAAGTGCTTCCATTTGATGACAATCTTTGTGTTCGTGAACCATGTCTTAACTTTGAGGAGTGTCTTACTGTTCTGAAGTTCGGCAACGCATCAGAATTTATTCATAGTGACACAGTACTTTTTCGACCTATATATCCTGTGAACACCTTTGCCTGCTCTTGCCCGGAAGGCTTTACTGGAAGTAAAGAACATTACTTATGTGACACTGAAGTAGATCTCTGCTATTCCGATCCTTGCCAAAACGGAGGAACTTGCATTCGCCGAGAAGGCGGTCACACATGCGTGTGTCCTTCTTCGCACACCGGTAGTAACTGTGAAACTGACATAACAAAACTAAAGCAATGCACTTCCGATGCTTGTGATGGTGGACATTCATGCGTTAATAACTTTTTAAGCTCACAACCCCCACCATATACAGCTACGTGTGAACTCCGCTCCCGTTCATTTTCAAAGAACTCTTTCCTTACTTTTGAAAGCTTAAAGCAAAGGCATCGGTTTAGTCTAAAATTACGCTTTGCCACAGTGCACGAGAATGGTTTGCTGCTCTATAATGGCCGATACAACGAACTACATGACTTCATAGCATTGGAAATATTACAAGGATACATCAGTTTTTCATACTCACTAGGAGATAGTATCCAAAGTGTATCTCTAATACAGAATTCAAAAATATCTGATGGAAAATGGCACGAAGTGGAGGTAAATTATATCAATCGCACAGTTATTCTAGCCTTAGATGAATGCGATACTGCCATTGCTTTAGCCGGCAACCTTGGGGATCGTTGGAGCTGTGCTAACCAAACAACATTGCAATTGGATAAACGTTGCTCTTTGCTTACTGAGACCTGTCACAGATTTTTAGACTTGACTGGTCCATTACAAATAGGTGGTCTTCCACGCATACCAGCACACTTTCCAGTAAAAAATCACGATTTCATTGGATGCATATCTGACCTGCGCATTGATGAGCGATATATTGACTTAAATTCTTACGTTGCAGATAATGGAACAATATCAGGTTGCCCGCAAAAGGCACCACTTTGTTCTTCAGAACCATGCTTTAACGGTGGTGTTTGCCATGAAGGCTGGAACACATATATATGTGAATGCCAGGAAGGATTCGCTGGCAATGCATGTCAGGACAACATACCAGCACCTTGGCGTTTTACTGGTGATGGCAGTTTAAGTTTCAATCCATTGCTGCGACCTATACAATTGCCCTGGTTAACTTCACTCTCCATTCGCACCTTACAAAAAAATGCTTTTCTTATTCAAATACAAATCGGACAAAACAGTTCCGCAGTTATATGCTTAAGGGATGGTATTCTTTATTACATATATGACAACGAACCAATGTTTTTGTCAGGCGCTTATTTGTCCGATGGTGTTTGGCATCGAATAGAAGTGAAATGGTTGGGTTCTGAAATTCAATTTTCCGTAGATTATGGTCAACGAACTGGAGTAGTTCCTATGTCTCAAAAAATACAAGGACTTTACGTTGGAAAAATCGTGATAGGTAATGCAGATAGTTCAATAGGTTCAACAGGAGATCTGCTTCCTTATGAAGGTTGTATACAAAATGTACGAATCGGTGCTTCACAGTCAGCACTCTCACGTCCAACTATACGCGAAAATGTCGATGACGGCTGCTTATCGAGAGCTGAATGTCCAGAGTCCTGTCCACTACATTCAAGCTGTACAACTTCTTGGGATGAAGCACATTGTGAGTGTCTTCCTGGATACGTAGGACCAGATTGCTTACCCATTTGTACTGTGAAGCCTTGCACTGCAGGTATTTGTAGAGCCAATGTTAGCGAACCACGTGGCTACAGATGCGAATGCAATAACACAATGCAACATGGGGATTATTGCGAAAGAACTGTACAACAACCCTGTCCTGGGGGTTGGTGGGGTGAAAAGGTTTGCGGTCCATGTAAATGTAATTTACAACAAGGTTATCATCCAGATTGCAATAAAACAACAGGCCAATGCTATTGTAAAACAAACCACTATCAACCTATTAATGAAACAGCCTGTATTCCGTGTGACTGTTATTCGATTGGTTCATTTAATAGCGCTTGCAATCGCCTTACTGGTCAATGTGAATGTCGAGAAGGAGTTATTGGACGACGATGTGATTCCTGTTCAAATCCCTATGCTGAAGTAACACTGAGTGGTTGTGAAGTGGTATACGATGCCTGTCCACGTTCATTTGCTGCTGGTATTTGGTGGCCGCGTACTCCAATTGGAAGCACAACTGTTGAAAATTGTCCACACCCTGCAAAAGGAAAAGGACAGCGAACATGTGATGGCACTACTGGTGGTTGGAATCAACCTGACATGTTTAATTGCACTTCAGAACCATTTATAGAGCTAAGAAAGCATTTGTCACAGCTAGAGAAACAAGAGTTGGAATTAAATGCATTTGTTGCAATCAAAATGGCAGAAAACTTGCAACACGCTTGTGAAACTGTGGACCGTACTGCAATCTCCAAGAAACGTGCTGTAAAAGACAATAAACGGTATAAGATGGAATCATCATTTCTATTAAATGAAGGCAAAAACGTTTGGTCACAGGAAATTGAAATGGACTATTTATCTGACGAATTAAAGTTTTCGCACGATCGGTTATATGGTGCAGATTTGTTAGTCACTGAAGGCATATTGCAAGAATTAATAAGTTATGAACTTATGCAAAGTGGTCTGAATTTATCGCATAGCCAGGATAAGTACTTTATTAAAAACCTTGTTGATGCTGCTAGTGTGATCTTGGATAAAAAATATGCAAATGAATGGAAAAGAATAATGGACTTGATTCAACGTGGACCTGATGATTTAGTAGATGCATTTAATAAGTATATGGTCGTACTGGCACGATCACAGCATGATACATACACAAGTCCATTTGAAATCGTGCAACCTAATATGGTTTTCGGGCTGGACATTGTAACAAAAGAATCACTTTTTGGATATGAGCCAGAGCAATTGAGCGAGTATCATAAGACTAGATACTTAAAACCAAACGCGTTTACTACAGAAAGTGTTATATTGCCTGACACAAGTGGTTTTCTGCAGCACTCTTCCAAACAAAAGCCAGTTATCACATTTCCGAAATACAACAACTATATTCAAGACAACACCAAGTTTGACAAGTACACAAAAGTGTTAGTTCCTCTTGATATGCTTGGTATAACACCGCCAGAAAGCAATGAAGTGACACAAGGAGCAAGTGATTATAGAGCAATTATATCATATACTCAGTTTAAGGATGTAGGAGTGCTTCTACCAGATATGTACGATGAAACAATAACTCGTCGCTGGGGTGTTGATATAGAAGTCGCATCACCTATATTGTCACTTGCAATTTTAGTACCATCAAATGAAAATGAAGAAAAACGTTTGGAAATTCCTTTCCGCAAAATTTCATCTCAGAAACCTGCTTCACAAGAAAAAGAGTTTGTTGAAGTGTTCGACGTGTCAAAATCTGGAGCAAGTGGAAGTGAAGAGCATGCTATTGAAAATATTCGTATCACTGCACATGAAATTCCTGCATCTAATGAATTATTGGAAGCTAGTAACGAAGGAGTTGAAGTTGAAGATTCTGAAGACCCACATATAAATGTTCGGTTTGACGATAATATTGAATTTCATGGTAACTCTGGTGAAGAGATCATCGATTCACCTGAAATACTTAATCCAAACTTTGATGGTCCCATTATGCAACCAGAAAAAACTGAAAACGATGCCATATATCGTAATCGGCGTTTAGTGAAAAGACAGGTGGAAGTAATATACCCAAATGATCAAAGCCAATCTTCAAAACATGTCACCTACCGCTCACTAGGTTCTCCACATCTTTCACAACCTATTAAATTACAAATTTGGCTTGATGTTGATATTTCCACATTTGGACCTCGTTCTAATCCACAATGCGTGCGTTGGAATTCTTTTACTAACCAATGGACGCGCCTTGGTTGTCAAACAGAAGTTCCTGAGTTTGATAATGTTATTTCTGAACACGAACCCATCATTGTGAATTGTACATGTAGTCATATATCAAATTATGCTGTCATTGTGGATATAATAGATCCTGAAGATATACCAGAGCCATCTTTACTAGTTCAAATCACGTCATACTCTGCTTTTATGGTATCGCTGCCAATGCTCTTGAGTGTATTGATTGCGTTAGGCTTACTTCGGGGACAGCAAACGAACTCAAACACAATCCATCAAAATATTGTGCTTTGTGTATTTTTTGCGGAATTATTGTTTTTTGTTGGAATGCAGTCACGGCGTAACCTTTTAGAGAACGAGTTTCCTTGTAAGCTGATAGCTATATGCCTGCATTATTTTTGGTTAGCAGCGTTTGCATGGACTACTGTGGATTGTGTACATCTTTACCGAATGCTGACAGAGATGCGTGATATCAATCATGGTCCAATGGGTTTTTACTTTGCAATGGGTTACGGTGCTCCAGCTATTGTAGTTGGATTATCAGTTGGCGTACGTGCACATGAGTATGGAAACAGTTTATTGTAAGTAATCGTATTTTACTTAAAAATCCTTACAATCATTTTAATTATTGATTAAAATTTATTAATTATCACAATCAATTATAAATTAAAATTTTATTAATTTCCAGCTGCTGGCTTTCAGTTTATGAGCCCGTTGTATGGTGGCTCGTTGGACCTATAGCTGGAATGTCCATAGTAAATTTGTTGATTCTGTTCATTTCTGTCAAAGCCGCCTTTACGCTTAAGGATCACGTTTTAGGTTTTGGTAATTTACGCACACTCTTGTGGCTTTCGGTGGTTTCTTTGCCATTAATGGGTGTTATGTGGGTGCTAGCAGTGTTGGCTGCCTCTGAGAGTTCGCAGTTACTTAGTATACTTTTGTCGGCCGTAGTTGTAGTACATGCTATATTCTGCCTTATTGGTTATTGCATTATAAATAAAAGAGTACGTGAGAACTTACAGAGGACTTTTCTGCGATGTATGGGTCGTAAAGTACCTTTGTTGGATTCATCAATGGTAGTCAGCAACAGCTCACATAACGTGAATGCTACAGCACGCCCAAATAACTTTTTAGCAGGAAATTTTGACACAACACGTCGAAATATTGGTATAAGTGTTTCCAGCACAACATCCCGTAGTACTGCTAAAACAAGTTCAAGTCCTTATAGGTAAATAATCAAAATAATAATAATAATAATAATAAAGATTTTGGTTATTATTTTTGAACATTTATTTTATTTATTTTAGTGATGGTCAACTTCGGCAAACTTCAACATCCACTTCCAATTATAATTCAGCAAGTGACGCACCAAGTTTCTTACGTGGTTTCGATGCATCCACCAGTAGCCGTAGAGAAGAAAAATCCAGACGACATCGAAAAGACTCTGATTCTGGTTCAGAAACCGATGGTCGTTCTTTAGAGCTTGCCTCAAGCCATTCAAGTGACGACGAAGAATCAAGAACAGCACGCTCCTCTACAAACACTCATCGTAGCACTGGAGTGAGTGCAACACCATCTTATTTACCAAACATCACTGAGCATGTGCAGGCAACAACACCACCAGAGCTGAACGTAGTGCAAAGTCCACAACTATTTCCCAGTATTAACAAAACAGTTTATGCATCGCGTTGGTCTAGCCAATTACCAGATTCTTATTTACAAGCGCCTCAACCTAATATGGGACGGTGGTCTCAAGAAACTGGCTCAGATAATGAACATGTGCATGGACAAAAAATCACAATTTCACCGAACCCTTTACCCAATCCTGATCTAACAGATACGTCTTATTTACAACAACATCACAATAAAATAAATATGCCACCATCTATTTTAGAAGACCTACAGAATGTACGAAATGATAATTGCTACGATGGAATGGATAGTCGTGATCCTTTATATGGAGGTCGTCGTAAAGATTATCAAGATAATTATGGACAATTTGATGGTTTGCCTCCTACACCAGGTAATTATAAGCCACCAAGCCATTATGGAACTGATAAGGACTATTCTGGTGCGAATGGTGGTTCGCATATTGTTAACCACATGCGGTCATTTCATCCAGATACAGCGTATCTAAGTGATAGTATCTATGATAAACAACATTCTGTTGGATATTTAGGAACTAACACTGATTCTCCATATATGTCAAAAGAAAGAATAACACCTGATATCTATGGTTCACGTGAAAATCAATATAGTTTAAAGAAGCAACCTATGTATGGGGCTGATTCACTACATTCTGTGCATTCATTACTAAAAAATGACTATCAACAACAACGTCATCATTTACAACAACAACATGCAGACTATCATTCGGACCGTATGTCGGATGGTTCAGATAAAAATGGCTATCACTTTCCCTACACTGCAGAGGAAGATCACATCACAGCCAGTAGAAAATTAAGCCACAATCACTCACCCTTACTGCATAGCTCACATCAAATTCTCAACGGTCATCATCAGCAAGTCAATGATATAAATAATCCCGGTTTCCTGGGGAGACATACACTGAACTCAAGTTCTAGACATGGCTCACGCACATCATCACCGCCTTCCACTATTGTAGCACCAATGCAACCATTGGCTCCATTAACCAGCATAACGGATACAGAGTGAGTATTATAAAGTTATATATCACTTAGTTTTCGTAACGTTATTTTGGTGTTTGGTAGATGAAAGTTCTTCATTCCAAAATTTTGTTTCTTTTTTGTTGTTTCGGTGTTGGCTTAAAAAAACGATTTATTTTGTTTGATTTACTGAAAATATAACAAAAATTTAAAATTAGTTGGTTATTTGGCTTTTAGCTGGTAATGGTGTTTAACTAACATAGGAACGAATAATGTTAACGACTATGCTTTTTTAGCTTTGAAAAATTTGCTATATTGAGATCTATATTTTTTAATACTTATATTAATTAACAATAATGATTAATTATTGCAATTAATATTATCAATATTATTCACCTTTTCATTATAATCGTGGTTAAATTAATTCTTTATACTAAAGGTTCTGCGCAAATAAATATGGACAATTTGTGTTCGAATATACTTGTACATTTGGCTCAACATCACATGATGTTCGAATGTATTTATGAATTTGGCTCAAGCTCATCGAGCATTATATGATGTTCGAATATACCTATACATATCGAACTTCATATGATGTTCGAATATTTGTTGTCATAAGTATTTGTGCGAAACAAACGGAAAATAAAATGAAATATGAAGAAAACCAGCTGTTCGAGCAATTGATTTAAATGTTCGAATCTGGATAACCTCGAGTGTTCAAAGTGTTTGATCCAAATGTTACATTTTGAGTAAATTTGAGCGCTTCGAACATCGTAATGTGCGTACACTTTAAAACATTACTTTACTAATCAATATCATATATTAGTAAAAATTCAAAAGAGTGCAAATATGAAGTATATACATTGTTTTTTCCATCGATATGATATATATGTGATACATTTTAAGGGTACTGACAATATTACCAAATATACTTGGTAGTGCAGCAGTTTCTACGAGACACAATCTAAAAATAAATAGAATAATTATTCAAGCTTTTCGAATCTCAAACAAAATAAATCGTTTTATTGTTTAGAAAATTTTCAAAAATACGTATGTTTGTTCTTTAGTTTGCTTGTTAAATGAACTCGATGTCCACCAACACTTATCAGTTTGTGTCTTAAATTTCATATCCAATTTGTTACTTTTGTTTTAAAATTAAAGAAAAAACAATATATCTCATTTAATAATCTGGTTTATTTGTATTTCATTCTCTTCTTTTTATGCCATAAAAATCATCAAATCCATTTTGAAAAACTGTAACCAACACAACCTGATCAACAAATCCTACCGAACATCCGATTACCTTGAATCACATACATTTATATAAATATATATATGTATATGTCTATTATATTGCTATGTGTATGTGTGTATGTATGAATCATGTTAAAATAACAAATGCATTGTTTAATGTGAATTTTTGCCAAAATTGAACAATAAACGAACACACCTAACCTTTCATACATATCTCATATACGTGCGTACCGCTCCGCAATCACCCACATACCAAACATGCAAATCAAACTGCAGGTTCTCCTGGGAACGTCTAAAGAAAATCTAATCACAAATTCTATTTTATTCTCTTTTTTGGATATATTTTGACCAAAATGCAAACTTTGGCTTTGGCTTTAACACGCACACAAATCAACTCACTAACACATTGACACAATGACATATTTTAATGAATTCAACCAAAAAAATAATGAATTAAATTTAAATCAAATAAAAAAAAATATATACATATAAATAATATACAATCGACAACAACAACAAATCGGATCTGGTGTAAATATTTAAACTTTACCTAAACAACACCCTTCACTTTCACAACTTCTACTACAAAATGTACTTGCGTATCCTGCCGCTACTATCACTTTTACATATTCTACAACAATTCAACTTTAACAACAACAATCTGTACATATCATCCAAGCAGATCAGAGGTAACCACAAACTTTTATTTAATTAATTTTATATAATTTTAATTCGTTTGTGTAAATAAACTCGTAAATGACAAGGAGAGTTCCTTAATTTGCATACACACATGAACTTAACTCGCAAACAAGAATGAGAATAGAGCAATCGGTAGTCCTTCTGGACTACGAGCGCATATATCCATAACCTATGTAAATATGTAAATTAAGGTATATGAAATTTTTGCACTTTATTTATGAAACGCTCTGTTTTTATTTTTTCATTTTAATTTGGTTTCTGTTCTTTTCTGTAAATAAATTAATATATTATTTGTTTTTTTTTTTTGTAATCCAAATTATGCTATTTGATATTAATAAAAAAACTAAACTTATCATCATAAAATAATACACACAAATGTAGTAAGAATATCTGTTTCTAGGGAATCGATAATGTATCATTATTAGCCTCAAACCGCATAAGAATTCTTTTGAGTTCCCACCTATTAAAATAAAATATTTAATTGCTTGATTTTTATCGTTAAGATGATACTAACTTTAATCTAGTTTTAACATTTTAGATTATATCTCATCCCAAACCTACATTATATAGATTATACGTAATCTCAAGCTTTTGTAAAGATCAATGATGATATATAAATATGTATATATAAATGCTCGACAATAAGATATTTCTTATGTTCTTCAAAGATATTTTTATTATTACAATAAAATATATGCTTTATAATTCCGAGTTGGAAAGGTCTTCGAAAACGTCTTAAAGACATGAATACTTGTATAACGATTCGATCGATCAATATTTATGAATGTCTTTGATGATACTTACAAATAAATTAGACAAATGTTTTCGATGTATTTTTGCTTAAGCTTTATGTACTTCATAAAGCACAGATATTTAAAAGTATTATATAATATTTTTTTAAAGAGTGCAAAATTACAGTTTGAAAAAAAAAAAATTCAATTTGAGAACATATTTTCGATACATAAGTTTACACATTTCCTTATATGTCAAATAGAACTGTCATCAAAGACATCATATGTTTAGTTAAAATATCGCCATTTTACAAAAAAGAACGTTTAACAAACGTTGAACGGTTGCTACTACAAAAATGATGGGTCTGTAGTAATACGTATTGCATCGAATTTTCTTTAAAGATAAGGTTCAGTTCTCGCTTGGTGGATATATAAATAAAGAAAACTTGCACGTATGGGACAGTGAAAATACATGAATAACATTTGAAAGATCAATGCATTCACAGACATTCACTTTATGGTGTTACATAAAAACCCTAATCAATTCTATTTTTTTTTGGCATGAAATTAAAAACTGTCATTCTTGTCACTGTCACTGTTTATAAGATATTTGGAAAGAGTACCATGTAGTCAGGTATAATATATTATTTATATACAAACGAATGATTCTATAAGTTAGAAATATATGCAAAAATTAAATATCATGTCCTAATGTCCTACTAAATAATGAGCTAGTTATTCTCTTCTCAAATTCCATTAATATTTGATAGTAATTTTCAGTCCAATACAAGGAAAGATACAACTCCAGTCAAAGTAACAGTCTTTGGCCTACTTGGCTATTTAAGGCTTATTTAATTATAGTCCTTAAATTAAAAATAATCATTTCCGCCTAGAATTTATTTGTTTGTATTAACTCGTAATTAATTTTTCATTTCCAGTTATTTATATAATTATTTTTTAATTATTTTTACATTGTATTTTTTATTAATTTTTTCTCACACATCATACACATGCATTAAACTCAAATTAATTCAAATATTAACAATTAAAACATTTTTGTAAATAAATAACAATTAAACAAACATTAACAATTTCAGTTCGACATTATTTGGTTGCATCGCAGCAGGCAAAGGCATTATCCTTGGTCTTTAACAATATGGTAGCATTTTATAAAATATCCCTAGCAATATTAGTAAAAAATATATAATTAAGCTGTGCTAAGTAGTTTAAATTATAAATTAGATTATCGAAATTTTACAAATATATTCTATAACACATAATTAGCACATAATTTAAAAAAGGAGTTATTATTGCCTCTCACTAAAATAGACCGTATATAGTGAATACTATTTTCCGATAAAAATATAGAATAAATAAAATAATAAATTAGTTTTTGAAAATATTATAAATAAAAAAAATAAATAAATATTAAAAATAAAAAAAAAGAATATAAATAACTTTAAAGTAAAAAACTATAAAAAATCTATTAAAATTAATTAAAATTATTTATTAATTGATGTAACATTTTTGACAACAATTGATTTTTAAAATAAAACCAAAACCTCATTTACTAACTTTCATTTATTCCTACTAAGTCATATGTTATCTTCAAGTTGAAAGAAAAACTTAATCAAATTTTTAAAAAGCTGATCTAAAATAGTTCAAGAATTTCTCTTAATTTGACATTACAAAATAAAGTCATATTCTTATTCTTATAATAATAAAAAATATTATTGATAATATCAAGTTATATACTATAAGATATAAGAATTTAGCCAAAAATTTCAAATGATGACATGGCACAGTGCACTAACTGACTTTGATCTTAATCAAATCAAACACTTAAAACTTAAACTTAAGTTTATCATATCTTCCTAAATTTCGTCAAAAAATACTAAATATTCTTCTAAATGAAATTGAATAGTTTATGAAAGATCTAATAATATCGCAATGTTTTGTTCCACTGGAAACTACTACTGCTATTCTAAATTTATATTCAACACATAAATATAAATAGTTTACACTCAAGTGATACTCGAATCATTGACTGTGTTTCATTTATACCCATTCTAATTCTCTTTTTTTATATTCGACTCCACTCGATTCATACATACAGCTGACAGTACTTGTATTGATGTATACTCTTCTTATATGATACTCGTGAACACTCGACACATAAATTATGCACATGATTTATGAATCATTCATGATTACTACGTCACAGTTGGAAAAAATTTCCCTGCTATTTACGGTGCATATAATTTCCTATTAAAACAACCCCTAATTTAATGCATACATAATATTTTAGAATGCAAACAAAATACATGTATTTGCAGCCCTAACAATACACAAACCTAAAGCATAAATCTAAATACATACAAAATTTTTGCTTAGCAAACAACAGTGGTCACACAAAATTTTTATGAATGCTTGATCGAGTCATTCATTTTCGATGAGTACATTCATTGGTTCATACTACTCGAGTATTTGCTATGATTTATAAAGCAATGGCCATTTATGCTCCTCTACTTAGGAATGTATACGCATTCTCATCAAGCTGATTCAATTAACACCCGAATAAAAACACTTATGAATCCTTTTGATGGTGAATGTGAATGCATATAAGTAGTACCTAAACTAAATATTAAAAAATTATTTAAATTAGATGCAGTTAAACATAATATAAACTCAGATAATTAGATGATTTTCACCACTGTGCTATATCTAAGCGACTATATCTATGTGAAATATATGATTTATGTATTGCCTCCTTAATGTGTGATCTCCGTCATTACAAATTATAGGTCCCTTCCTTTCATTATGTAAAAAGGATATAAACACTAATTAATTCAATAACCACAAAATCTATAACTTTTAAACTTATTATGGTACATTGTGACCGAAAAGTTTTCGGAGGTTCTCATTTAAAATTCGCGCGCTGTATATTTTTCGATATTTTAAGTTTATGTAGTTTGGCAGCACTGTCCTTAATTACTATGCCAAAAATGAGCGCGATCTGTCAGACAGTTCGTTTACGGCAGCTGTTGAAACCAGTTCACCTCAGTAGTGCGTTGCGAAAAAAACAATGGAAAAAAATATTGAACAAAGAGTTTGCATCAAATTTTGTTTTTCGAACGAAATTTCGTGTGCAGAATCGTTGCGAATGCTACAAAAGGCTTATGGGGAATCAGTTTTATCGAAAACTCAAGTTTATGAGTGGTACAAAGCCTTTCAGGACGGTCGTACGACCGTCGAAGACATGCCGCGTTCTGGACGACCTTCGACCTCTACCACCGACGAAAACATTGAAAAGGCAAAGAAAATCGTGTTCCAAAATCCTCATGTGAGTGTTAGAGAGATAGCACGAGAGCTAGGCATCGGTCGTGAGATGGCTCGTTTGATTTTGGTGGACAATTTGTGTATGCGACGTGTCAACGCCCGGCTTGTTCCGATTCACCTCAATTTGTTCAACATTATCAACGATTTTAAGGCCAAACATTCAATAAATACCATCGAACAGCCACCGTATTCACCTGATCTTGCACCGTGTGACTTTTTCCTGTTTCCCAACCTCAAATTACCACTCAGAGGAACGCGTTTTGAATCCATAGAAGACGTAAAACAGAATTCGCAGAGGGAACTCAAAGCCATACCGGAAAGCGCCTATAAAATGTTTTGATGATTGGAAGAAACGTTGGCATTTATGTATCGCTTCTAATGGAGCATATTTTGAAGGAGATAAAATAAATATTGATGAAGATTAAGAATTTTGCGTTTTATTTAAAATTTCCGGAAGCTTTTCGGTCACAATGTATATTTAAAAAATCTTCTACTACTACAAAAAATTATTTTTTATATTAATTAATTGAATTTTCAGCTAACCATGCAACTATTTTGAGTATTGCCTAACACTCAAAGAATACATAAGAATAGTATTGAAATTTAACAATTAGAAATAAAAATATATTTAATTATTTCAATTATTCTACAGCTGGTTTATGATTTCGTTCTAACATAAACATAAGCAAATGAATTTGTTAATAAAACTTTTATGGCAAATGAACAGAACTCTAGAAAAATGTGCGAACATAAAAGTCAAGTACGGCTTTGGATCAATTGGTTAAGGAGTGCTGACTCTGAGCTTCAAATTTGGCAGGGTACGAGTTCAATCCTTGATATTTGCAGTTTCAAAAAAATTACTTATGAGTAATTAAATACAAGAAATATTTTCAAGACCACTAATGTTGGGTATTTGGCAATATTCGAAACAGCTGTGACTATACAACCAAAAATTCTATTAATTAAAATAATATAAGAAATTAATTTTGCTGTTGTAATTAACTAAGTTTTGATTCCTCTCTAACAAAATACAATTTAGTTTATCTTAAGTAAAACAGTCACTACCGTAAAAATTGATGTAAAATTTCAATTTATAAACCTTTCACAAAAATCTTCAGGTTTTAAATTAAATTTGCTTTATTTTAAAGAAAAATTTTTGTATTATTTTAAATATATTAAATTTCCAAGGGGAAAATGTAAATATAAATAAAATTGTTTATTTTCATATTTACTGTTTTGTGCACTATACGGCAATATATCATATAGCCATTTAAACTGTAATAAATTTATTGTCAAATATAAACTAACAATTTTAAATTTATTTACAAATCTCAGTTTGTAAATTTAATCTTTTTAATATTTTTAGAAATTAAAAATAAAAGGTTTACTAAAAAATACACACCAGCCTTACTTTGAACAGAAATTGAAACATAAAAACTTTGATTAAAATTTATTTAATTATGCAGTACAAAATGAAAATAACTATTAAACATTTATGTTTATATTGAAGCAATCGTAATGCTGAAGTAATGTTGAAAGGATAACATAAATGTACTGCCTCAAGGCTTCTACTGATTGGATTTTTAGTGGAAAATATCAAACTGACAAGTTGCATTACCAATTCCCAATCCAAGTTAAATAATCATTCATCAATCATTCACTTACACATGCATTTGAGTGCCTTGTGAAAAAGTCCTTGTAATATAAATTTAAAACTAATATCTGCAACAATATTCATAATAGTTTTAAACGAATTGAAATGAATTTTTAATTTTGATATTTGAGATATTTTGTTTGCCATTTAAACTCATACAACTCTAGAGTTAAAGTATATTTCAGGTCATAAAAAATTAGAAAATTTTTAATGAAAAATGCATTCAATTTTGTATTACAAAATTAATGAAATACAAATATGTATTTTATTTTATTGAAAAAAAAAACAAAAAACTAACAATTACATATATAATCACACGCACACACACACTTTAATATTAGTCACAATCTATATATCTACTATACTGCAGACAATCACTCTTAAAATTTATTTAATAATTTGTTTTTTTTTTTTCAATAATTAAATTTTCTGTTATCAATTTTAAAATTTAATTTTCTGCTCTTATGATTTTCAATTTTTAGATTTTATTTTAATTACCGATAATAAACTCACATTGCACACATGAATGTATTTAACATAAATGACTTTTTATCACATCACATGGCACAATTTATTAATATTAAATACCACAATTTTGCATAATTTATCTTCTAAAATATTTTTTACGTCAAATCAATTAATATTCATTTTTCATAAATTATTTTAAATTTAATTTTTTCCAATAATTTTACATAAATTATAATTTATTAAGAAACAATTAAGAATTAAAATTAAACTGCAATTTTATATAATAAGAGAAAAATACTACGTATATGGGGTTCTCAATTTTGTAGTCCGAAGGTAATCGTAAATTAAACACACTAATTATTATAATTTCAATTAATATTTCATTACAAAATATTGTTCAAGCCTAGTCATTAGGTGAGAAATACAAAATCATTCATATATCCTTCACTTGATATCTTACAGTACTTGACGCTTCTGAGATAATAGTTCAGAATAGTTCAGTCAAACTTCACGAATTATCGTTTTCAAAGCATCGGGCGATGAACATTACTATAACAAGAACTTACAGATCCGGAAAATTTTAAACCTTGCAAAGCTAAAACAAGACAGTGTTTTGTAAAAACCATATATCATCTCAACTTTATCTTTAAATTCACGTAGAAAACACTAAAAATCATTTGATTATAGTGATCAGAATTGAAGGTTTCTATGACATCGAAATTTTGAAAAAAGTGCAGGTCGGGCCTATCATACCTCTAGACCAAATGCACGCTAATGTAAGTGTTGATTTCATATTGATGTAATAGATTCTGGATAGTTTTGTTTGTTGACATATCCACGAAGTGTGGAATGAGCTTTATCACAACATAATTCAATCTTAAAGAATCAGCACAATTTTTGTATTAAGTTTCCTGAACTTCTAACACGTTTAGCGATTATGGATAGGTACATATCATAAAATAGCGAACTTCAAACTAAAAATATGAATCCGTTAATGATAGTTTGGAATAGCATGTCACTGAAACATTGCTGCTAAATCAAAACCTCAAAAACTTTATAACCATTTACTATACCTATGATAGTTATATACATTAAGCTCTCAATAAACTAAATATTTCAAGGGTTGTCTAGATACCTTGCATAGATGCCTCTTTTTGAGGACTTTTTTTATATATTCAGTTGAATTATTAAGCTATTTTATAAATTAGAGATGCATATAGAATCATTGTTATATTATATTCTATAAAAATGAGGAATACAATATCAATTTCATATATAGTTTTTGGTATGTACATCTGTAAGACTGATAGATTGAATTCGCAAAACATTCGTTTGAGTTTAATAATTATCAGTTTCTATGACAAGTATCTATAATATTAACCAAATCTTAAAACATATCATAGAATGTACTTACTTACTTATTTGGCCATTACAGACATATGTCGACCTTCGCTGCATCGAATACCCTCCGCCAGCGAGCTCGATTAGTTCCTTTCTGTCGCCGGTTGTAGTACCGAGCACCCCCAAGTTATCCACATAGGCCACGTGGAGGCTATGTGTCAACTTGGAGAGAAGAATGACAAGTATCGCTCTGGCATTTACCATATAAATTGCAACCAGATAGTTTACTTTGTATGTTCACTCCCTCCCCTTCTATATCATAGAAAATGGCAACATATTTTCAGTCAGAACGTCACGATCTTAGTTGTATATTCGACAATTTTTCACAGTGTTTTCATTCATAAGCAGACTTTTGACTGAATGACAAGATCTCTTCAATAATTTTTTAGTATATCATATCACCGACAGTGAGTAACAAAAAGGCATCGGAATAAATCAAACACGAAACAGAGTATTAGCGATAAACACTCCCCTAATACTTTCGTTTTTTTAAATAAGTTTTAGAGAATTCTTTCAAAAAGAAATTCTCTCTTTTAAAAGTATTGGTATTTTCAGAATTTTCTGCATAATTTCTGAAGACACTATAAGTTCAAACATTACAGTCTGTTGTTTTGTAGTGGTACTACATTTTTTAAAGTAATTTTTAAGTTGCCGCTAAATTGAAAAAACGTTATGTTCAGTGAACAGATCTAAACTTAATTCTATAATTCCTAATTTCTTTCTCATAATGCTAATCAATTTCTTATATCCACATTAATCACAAATAATTAATGCTGTGATTTTGTTGATATTTAATGAAAATTAATCTGTATCTGCATTTCGAAAATCCTTTAGCAAAAATATTGCTAGAATTGCTCAATGTTTATTATATTTAAGATTAACAGACTATGGAAAATTCATTAAGAAAAGAATAACACTCATACGCCATGAGTGCCCTGTTTCATATGTAAACGTTCACTACAAACAATTAATTTTACATACACAATAAATAACTATCGATTAAATACTTGGAATTATTCATGGAAAAAGTAAAATTAAATTAAAATATAAACATTTTAGAAATTTGTCATTTATAATTATTTTATTCCCAATGCAACTATAACAATTTGGGTATTATGTTTTTATTTGATAAAAATACGAATAAAATAAATTATGTAAAATGATATAAAACATTTTACTTTCTTTTATGTTTGTTTGTGTATTTCAGATTGTTTTCTTTTTTTTATGATTTTTTTTTTGTTAAAATCGCACAATTCAATAAAGCTTATCAATATTATATTTAAATATTTCTGTTTACAATTCCATTGTTTAACTATGCGTATGAAAGTAGTTTGTTTTTATGTGTATGACTAAAATAGTTTTTTTTTATCTTTTCACTTTTGCATTTTCAATTGCTTTAGACTTAATTCGCTGGTAATTAAAAAAAAAAGCATGATTATTGTATATGTAAATCGTAGTTAGCCGTTTTAATCCTTAAAATACTTTTTAGCTATCTTTTTTATTAACAATAAAAACAATTTTCATAACCACTCTTTTATTGGTTAGTTAATTTAATTGAAATTTTTTAACTAATTTCCTTTTTTCTATGCGTTTATTTAATCTAGGAGGAATATTGATGATGATGAGACTACGGTGTGATTGAACAAATACATTAATGCCTCCGAAACCGGATTTAATACTACAATGCATTGGTTTAGTGCACCACAACAATAACAATAAAAGTATAATTTTTAAATAACATTAAAATTAAAAAAAAAACAAATACACAGATATAATAAATAAATCGACATTAAATGTATTTAAAATATATTCAAAAGTTGCAATTTGAGTGCTAGAATATATAAAAATAAATATAAAGTATTAAAATAAATAAAATTTAAGCTGAAAAATTAAACTGAATATTTCGATGTAAAAAAGTTGTAAAAATAGTTTAATATATTTATATACTATACTATATAGTTATCGTTAGTTGTAATTCACAATTAAAAACTCGCTACCAAAACTGCATTTATAGTGTAAATGAAACTATAAAAAACCATATTTCGAGAAAAATTAATTTTATTTAGAGTTGCAATCTCGCTTTTATGGTTTAACATTTTATCGAAAAATTTTAATATCACAAAAATATATTATTTAATAACTTTGGCATATATACCTATATTTATTCATAGAATATTAATTTTTAATTAAAATTTTTATGCCCAATGACAAAATATTTATTTTAAATTTAAATGTGGTTAATAGTGCAGCAAATTGTTTATAGAATTAAAAACATTTTTCTTTTAAAGTAATATCATTTTAACTATTTTTGTTTATCAATAAGTCCATTGTGCTTTCCCTATGTAATAGCCGATAGTTTGTTTTATTAATTGATGAAGACAACACAGCACACTTTTCTATCATTTCTAATAGATACTCCAATTCCGATTCATTTTACCATCTTTTCAAACATAATTAATTTACAACGTAATGAAATGTACTATACTGTTATTTTATCTAGAGTAGTCTTACTTTGCATTTAATGTATTTCTACACCGCATTAACCAACGAGTATAACGAGTATATATATTAATCAACGGCCCATCTGTTTGCATGTCCTTCTGCACACACTAACCTTCGTCCAATTAGTCTTTGGACTCACTCCATTGAAGTTGCCAGGTTTCTCCATCTTGATCCGGCATAATGTTCAATATAAACCTCCCACCCACATCCTCCATCCTCTCCCCCCTCCCCTCTCATCTACCCTAACCTCTACCCAACCACTTCCTACTCAAGCAATCGTCTTAGATATCCTTGCACGTTACCTGCTTACAGGTCCCAGCGGGTTACAACAACAACAGCGAGCATAATCCATGAGACCCAGAAAAACGAGTCTAATATGTTTTTTAGGTATAATTAATTAACTAATCGTAAAAGTAACCGTTTATGATAAAAAGTGATATAACACACTCATAGGTTAAAGTCAGACTCCTCATGATCTAAGATGAGCCTCACATACAGAGTCACCGTTTATGATAAAAAGTGATATAACACACTCATAGATTAAAGTCAGACTCCTCATGATCTAAGATGAGCCTGACATACAGATTCACCTTTGAAAATTACTTAATCAATGAGTTAATTATAATGAACATTATAATAAAGTTATTGCTTAGATAAATTGCAACAAAAAATTGTGTTTTTAAATTGCTTTTGGTGAACACCTTCATGGAATCGAAAAAAAAAATTAAGATATGTTAAAGATAAATCATATTTTATATATGCAGTCATTATCCGCATATATGATCCAACTACAGTTCATATGTTATAGTGACAGCATTTTAACATACAAACTTCATAAACGCAGAACTGTAATAGCAATTATTTACCAATGATTTCGTTTATATCCTGTTTTCCCATAATCAGAAAGTAAATAAGTACACAATAATAAGCAAAACGAGAAACATTTTATCAATTTCTTAATCGCAAGCGAAATTTTCGCTTGGTGAACAGTGGAACTACACTTCTCTCTGCATTTATTCAATAGGAAGTCTATGATTTTTTGTGTGCAAAAATGTTTTAATTATAAAAGATCTTATAACAATATGTTTCATACTTACCATATTTATTATCATTTAAGCGAGATTGTTACTTATAACATAATTTAAATTATAAGAATAAAAGTTTTTTGTGTTTCTAACATCGTTTCTAACAACGAGAGTATATAAAATCTGTTTTAATTTGTATTATTATTATTATATTTTATTATTAATTAATTGAAAATAGAATCGTTAATAAATCGAGCGTATCAAAAATTATATATATAGTAGTATAAAAACAATCTTAACAACGTAGTTAAAGAAAATTATAATGCATATTAAAAATGCACTAAACGACGTTTATATATTAGAGAAAATTTGAGGAATTATCATTAGAAAGATTTAAATAAATAAAAAAATATGTATCTGAGAAATTAGTATTTGTTGCTACATTATTTAAAAAAATAAATTGAAGTTCAGCGTTTCTTCTGTAAAATAAAAGCAATAAGCACATTCATTATTTTTCTATTTTTTATAATAATCTAATACCGTTAAAAAACTAATTAATAAATCTAAAAAATAAAATTTAATTAAAAAATATTAAAAAACGATATTTTCAACAGACTGAATTTTAGTTGAAAAGTAAAAAATATCTTTGGGACATTATTTTAATAAAGTATTGCTTATTTTAAAATTGATTAATATATATATTAATTATATCAAAAATTAATATTATTTCCCCATGCATTGTATAAAAAAAAATTTTATTTATGATATATGTAACTTATTAAATTAATTTGTAAAAGCTTAGAGTGCCTAACACAAATTGTAAAAAATCGAATAAATAAAACCTAAGTTCAAAATTTTATTAAGTTACCTAAATTACTTTTAAAATGAGTTAATTATTTCATATGTATGTATAAAATTGTGTTCTATACTTTTCTCAATAGTTAAAGGACATATGTTATTACAATTAATTTAGATAAAATAATTTTCAAATAATTTCATATGTAAAACGCCGTAAATATTTAATTATTTGAAATTAAATATTTTATTAATAAAAACATTAAATTATATTATAATATTTTCAACATATTTAAAACAAAATACAACAATATTTACAGTTCTTTATAATAATAACGATTATTAATTTTACAAATGAAAATATGTACATAATGATGAGAAAATAGTTTTAATTTGCAAACAATAATAAACACACACATAAATATTTTCAGATCCTTTTCTATTGCATATCCTGAATAATAATTAATTTCATAAGTTCACATATGGTAAATATATTAAATATGTTATGTTATTAAAAAATTGTGATTATATATTTTTGGTTTATTATGTTATATACAAGTATGCAATTTGTATTATTTTTATTATTTTGTATATTATATATACAAGGCTACATAATTATTATCAAAAACTATTTCATAGAATTAATTTACTTCTATAATTACATTATAAATATTTTTATACACATATAAAATATAATCAATAATAAATTTGTATTGTATTTAGTGTTGTATGTATATTCGAATATATTGCTTAATATATAAGATTAAAAAATACTCAAAATACGTATTTATGTATTTCTGTAACTTTATGTAAAGATCGAACAAAATAAAATACAAATAAAAATTAATTTAAAAAATTTAAATTAAAAACCATTTATTTAAAATTTATTTGTGTTCACAATAAGCCCACACAACACCTAAGTGAGTTCTGTCTTCTCATAAGATGGGCTACTGACAGATCTCACACCAATGCCGACAGATTGCATGATTTTTTTTTAAAAAGTTGAGATAGTCCTTTTATTAAAAAAATATATTATTTTATTAAAACTAGTTTAATAAATGTGGGGTTGAATATGCTGTTAACTAAACGGAACTAAAAAGAAGTCGCACATTTTTGATTCTAAAACTTATAAATGATTGAGAGGTTTCGAAATGTAGTGAGTTACAACAACAAAAAATTTTTTTATATTATTTTAATTTTATGAATTTTTGACTGACTATACAACTGTTTCGAGTATTGTCAAATACCCATTATCAGTGATCCTGGAATTATTTCTTATATTTAATTATTCGTATAAAATTTTTTGGACTGAAATTACTTAAAGTTGAACTCATGTCCTTCCAAATATAAAGCTCAGAGTTAGTATTAATTTGCCAACTAAGCCAAGGCTGTACTTGACTTATTATTGTAATTTCTTATAATTTATAATAATTTCATATTATATTTTAATTACAACGTATTGATTTCTAAATAATAAAGTATATAATTTGTTATTTGAACTAATAAATACTGAAGATTAATCTTCAGTACCTCAATACTAAACTTATAAAATATTATATATACTCCGATTTTAATATAAAGACTTATGGTATGCAGTGGTCTCCCATATCTATTAACAATAATACTTCATTATTTCAAAGTATCATTATATCAAGGTATGCACAGTTTTATTACAATTTCAACAAATATTAAATAACTTTCAATCCTAATACAGATTTCTTAGCAAATTAATTTGTTTATTAGTTTTAATTAATTCAACGCAAAATCGTGGATCATTGAAAAAGAGAATTAACAGGTTTTCATATGGGTAAAAAAATCGTGGAATGAGGTAAATTTATTGAAAGAAAATTTTGATCTCTTCTAATGACCAGGCCTATCTCTTTAGCTTTCAATTGCCATAAAATTTAAATAATTTTCGCAGATTTAAGAAATGGTCGAGTTTACTTCCCAAGACCTCTAGAAGAAACCTATCTATTATTCTTACTATTATCATTATTACGTTTGTTCGGTGATTTAAGAATAACAACGAAAAACAACAACAAAAAATTTCAATATTGTTTTGATGTTTTAATTTATTTATTTATTTTTCTTTTTGCTTATTTTAAAATACCGACTAAATTCGTATAACTAAGTATATTACTAAATCCACTTAATTATATAAATATGTTTGTTACAAATCTCCTCACATTTATTTAATACCCCGATATTGCTATAAAAAAATTGCTTAAGAATATTCCAGATACATAAAAAGAAATATGTGTTCAATAAAATCTACCCAATTATTAGACTCGACATTGGTTCAATGTGTTAAGGTACAAGTCAGCGTTTCAAATATGACAGGGTTTAAGATCAAACCCCTAGCACTTAAAGTCTGAATATTATATATAAAGAATTAAAAGCAATAATTATTTCTAGAGTCTACTGCTTTTGGATATTTG